CTACATCTACTCTACAAGGCTAAGTACGCTATGTATTGTAACAAGCTCCACAGGATGACTTGTTATTTGTACTTGTTTATTTTCCTATCCTTTAAAAACTGATTGTAGTAGATAGGTTCTGCAATTGGAATATCAACTTAGCTAGACTACTGCTAGTCCAATCATCTCTTTGAAATCATCCTTGGCTCTCTCTGGCCTAGCCAGCCCTTCCTTTCTTTTTCTCTGCCCAAATCAACCCCCAGACATCTACTCTCCAAATCCAAGTCCACTGGTTCTTAGGGGAGCGTTAGACTAAAGGCAAGATCTGTTTGCTAAAGGATTCATCCATTGGTCTTCCAAGCAGAGCTTGCACGGGCTCAACAGCCATCCAAATTGCCATTGATCCTCAAGCTTTAGAACTAAACACCCTGAAATTCTCCTTATGGCAAGCTCAACATTGCACCAATCAACCTGTGTCTTTCAGATTCTACACCCCCACGTGTTGTCACCCCCTCCCTCAACTACCCCTTACCCCTGCCTCTGGAATAGATCTATAGAGCCAATGAGTCTAACTCCCACTTTAACTTATCCCTTGTCCTTGCTGCCATCCAGCTCTTCTTCAACACCCAACTCAGAGTTCCATCCTGTTGAGCATTCAGAACAACTCCTGGGACATTGTTGGGGTCAGGGTGCCATAGCTTTTTATCTTTGAGGTGGTCTATGTTGTGTTTTCTCCATTCCCTTTCTGAGGATCCTTTTTCATGGCAAGCCTAACAGAACACAACAATGAGCTCATAGACAACTGTTAAAGACCATGAACTGTTTGAGCAAACACTTACATCCACATCTCTAGCTTCAGGTCTTCATTGTCTCTTTGGAGGACATAAATATACCCTAGTGGCAGCTCATGCTGCACCAGGGCAAGGTAGACCGGAGACATGACAGCAGGATTGTCAAGCACAGTACAACAATACAGCCATTTTGTGATAATGCCCTTTGGAAAGTTGGTGGACTCTGGTGTTACATTTTGGAGCAGTTGAATGCCGGCAATAACAGAGTGTTTTTCTGTCTTGGGATGGTTGTGGAATATGCCAACAATGCTATGTAGAGGACAAGTGATTTTTTAGCTTTAACAGCAATCAACATAACTTGGGGCATACAGCTGAAATAGCCTCAAACACTTGATGTTGACACTGAACGTTACCCAGTTCCGGTTCCAATAATGGAGGCATACAGTAACAATGAGGAGGACACAGATATTGAGAGCTATGAGAAGGAGGAATGCAATATTCCAGTGATAATATGTTTCTGGTGGCAGTCACACTGGAACATTGTTGACAATTGTTGGTGGTGGCATGGTGGCAACTGAACAGCACACATGCTCTACAAGCCCATCAAGAGCTCCTCAAAACTGATCCAGGGAGGTTGGAGAAAAGAGGGGAGACCTCAAGTGTCTGGGAAAAATGCAGATGAACCTGCAGCTATGTTTCTCATACATTGAAGATTGCATGCAAAGCTGGCATCAGAAGGGGCCTGATGGATATGCAAATACCCCAATGATGTGCTGACGTGCGTGAACGATGGTGCAATCTGGAAGGGGCTCAACAGATCTGTGAGATAAGAGGCGATCTATAATCTAGAGGCTGACAGTGCAGGCTACGAGGC